CCAGCAAGAGCTGCCCTTCAACCACACCACAAGAGCCACTTCCATCAAGACTCAGCCGTTTAGGGCAGACAAAGCAATGGGATTTCATGTCCCCAGTGCAGTCCTTCACAGTTTCCTTTTGATGCAGGCAACCAGCACAAGTGGAACACAGTAAGAGCAGGGTTCCACGGGAACTACTTCCAAGCAGTTCCCCCAGCTCTGAGCTGGCCAAACAGGGGCCTGACAAAGAGGGCAGAAGGGGATCCTTCTATGGGGGAACTCTTTGCAGAGAGTAGATGCCTACAGTGACCAGGAAGGTCCTGAGAAGTCAAGAGACAAAACTCCACTGTTTTAGGGATTCAACTCTTGGCAGTGCTCACCCAGGACAAGCCCCTCTCAGTTTCCTTACCCTGCCAGAGCCCGAGAGTAGCCCGGTTGCTACCTGCCCCCTGTTTCCCGGCCAGGCAGCAGGCACTGGGTGCCCAGCAGAGGGTGGTGTTACACTGCACCACGCTCTCAGCCCGCCGCCTCCCCTGGCCCCCAGCCCCAGCACCAAAGGAATGGGTCCTTCTCCGACTGCAGGACAGAGTGCCCAGAACATGTGCTTGACGCTTGGAATCTGTGTGGAGAAGGGGCATTCAGCCTCCTGCTGAAGGGACAGGTAGAGCGAGACGCCAAAGTGCGCTCACCTTGAAGAGTTTCTGAGAGTGTTTGATCATGAAGGTCACTCCATTGTTTAGCTTGGTGATGTTCTCCTGAAGGTCGTTTGCTGTCACCTGGCAAGGGGACACAGCCAAAGGCAGGGCAGTTAGAAAGGGAGAAGGAAGAGTCTGTGCTGCCCCTGCTGTCTCTGGGACACAGGCACACATGGTGCCCCAGCAGGAGACCTGCTGTGAGAAGACAGGCACGCAGGGCTCACAGCACACCGGCATGCAGGGCTCACAGACCCAAAGCTGCTCTGAGAGGAGAAACAGAAAACTGTGCAGTCAAACAGTTCATCAGCAGCATGAGAAACCATGCAGAGAGATCTGCAAGATTTGACAAAGCTGGCCTTCTTAAAAGGAGGACTGTGCTGTGCTTTCAATTTTACTGAAAAAAGATGAAGCATCAATTGCAAATGAGACCTACAGCAGGTATGGATGGGACACTGCGACTGAGTCCTGCCAGGAAGCTCTACCTCACCATCCCAGCCTCCAGCCCTCACATCACTGTATCAATCTTCCCATCTTGGTTTTTCCCGCTGTATGCCTGCCAAGCCTCTGCTTTCTACCTTGCCATATCCCACCCGCAGACACCAAGGCACTTGCTCACATTTCTGGGCCATAGGATGTGGGGTGCAAACATGAGGGCGAGATTGTGGGCAGACATCTTGTTCTTGTCCTGCTTCTTGGCGGTCTGGTAGAGCAAGTCCAGCAGCAGTTTGAGCAGACTGCGGTTGGGCGCGGGAAGGATCAAAAACAGCAGCTGGAGGGCTTCAATTTGGCGCTCTTTGTCTGGAGTGCTGGTCTTATTCCCCTTCTCATCAAACAGCGTCAAGTCTGCCAAATCACAAGGCAGAACACGAAGGACATAAATTACCTTCCCTAACAGCAGGTCTACTGCAACCGGTTACCCTTCCCTCTTCACAGGCAGATCTCCAAATTCCTGCAGTTCTTGGCCCTCTGTCTCTCCCCCACAGCTCCCAAGCTCCCCACCTGGTGAGTACTCCTCCCACAGGACAACACAGTTGCTAAGAGTTGCAGGCAAGATGGAGTAAGTTCACGCAAGGTGGTTCAATAATGGTTATTAAGTACATCGAAACCACACCTGGCTCAGCAGACCCCCAGGCTTAAAACAGATGGACACCCAATGCGGGCTCTACTACTGTAGGCATCTGTTTATGTTTATTGCTGGAGAAAAGACTGGGCTAGACAGACTCGGTCTGATTCCTCAGGATTTTCAGCTCCAGTCTTTCCACCATTAGGCTGAGATGGCAGGAAGATTCCTTCTTAACCTGCCTTTAGCAATTGGACTTCTGCAGGCTAGTGTGCAGTTCTGTGGCATTACCAGCTTTCTAGGAGGCTGGCTCCATTCCCTCTGCCCATCATTGCCTCTTGTTGCTCACTCACCTGCAATTTTGAGGTGGGCATGGAAGTGCTTGTGTGTCAGCAGCGGCTCTGGTAATTCACCAAGGAACATCTTAAGCAGGGTGGCCACATCATTGGAATGAAAATCCCCAGAGTCCAGGTCAATATCCGTACCGCTGTTCAGAGCATCCTTTAGGATCTGTTGCCTGATGCTGTTGCCTGGCACCCGAAACAAGCCTTCTGCTCGTAGATCTGCTCAGCAAAGGGGAGAAAAAGGCCACTGATTAAGCAGAGGCTGCTTCCCATCTTCTTACTAAAGCAGTTCCCTCTCGTTTCCAGAGCTTGACAGCAAACCTCAGTGAGCTGCTTTCAAGAGACATGACTTCAAGCTGGCTCCCATCAGTGGAAAGAGTCCACACTCAGAAGGAAAGAGATTAACTTATCTGTTAGGCAATTCTGGAAAACAGCCCCAAACTCCTGCCACTGGAGAGCTCAGAGGTTTCTACTCAGTCTGTACCAGAGACCTGAGGTGAGCCAGGCAGATGCTTCTTGGGATAGAAAGACAGCAAGACAGAGTCACTTACTTTTGTGCAGATACTCGATCAGCTGGGAGACCTGTGCAATGCCTTCTTCTGTCAGCGGCGAGCCGAACACCACCCCTTTCTCTGCACAACAGAAGATAACGTGTTCAGGCAGCTCAGAGCCCAACAGCCACAGAGGCAAGTGGTCCCTAAAGAACAGGATCTCAGCATGCAAAGACCAGTGTCTCAAAACACTAAGGATGAAGGTCACAAGGACCCTCCAGAAATGTGAGATATCACAAGCACTCCCAAATAAGTCACTTCATTTCACCATGCTATACTTACAAGGGCTTCATCATTCTGCTTCTAACCTCAGCTTAATTACAGTTTTTATCAGCTAAAGCAAACATTCTCTAGCTGCTGAAAAGAAAACAACACCAGAACAGACACTTCAGTTTTAAAGGGCATATCATCTGCAAGTCTGCACCTTACAGAAACAGCAAAGTGGGAAGGGCAGATGTGACAGCCTGGGCTGCCCAAGTGCCTGTCACACTGGCACATTCACACCTGGGAAGGAAAGTCCAGGTTAATCCTCACTGTGGCTTGACATGGAGTGTAGCAGAAAGAAGAGGTGCGGCTATGAGACTATGGGAGAGGGGAACAAGCACTGCTGGGGAAAGCAGACATTATTTGACTGGTTCTCACTGACCTTCTTTTCAAGGATAGGTAAATCCCTTGAATTCCCTGATCCCAGTGAATCTCTCTTCCATGTCAGCTGCCCTGGCCTGAGTACAGTAAAGTACAAAGGCTGAACAAGGAAAAACTAGAAAAAAAGGAGAGTAGCGAAGCAATCAGCTGAGCCCTTCCCCATATGAAGCACTGACAGCTTCTCTCAATCCCAGAGTTTTGCTTTCGTCTCATGGGGCTGTTACAGATCGGGCATGAGCTGCCAGCTCCAGAACTCCAGTCAATAACACAGTCTGCAGCCCCAACAGAAAACAGAAGAACTTGAGCTGAAAGGAAGGAGATCCTTGCACGGAAGGAAACATTAGATGAGAAGCCCATTTATCTGAAAGTCACTTGTTGAACCAATGCAGAAAAATGCTCTTGTCCAGAGAGGGACTTCCCAGGTAAGAGAGTGGTTATCCAGCAGGACAGTATTTTCTAATAAATGTAGCCTTGCTAGTGAATGGCTTTTTCCATTGAATACACACAGCCGGCACACTCTACTCCTCAGAAAGCTGAGGCAACTCCCAGGGGCTTCACTGGCAGAACTAAAGCCCTGAGCACCTCCTCTTCTTTCAGAGGCATGTAGGTTTTGACTGCATCTAGAGACGAGATGCTGGATAGACCATACCGCAACACGCTGACTAAGACTGAGAACTGGAACCAGGTACAGAGCTGGCCTGTCCTGCCTTCGCGCGTAGGCTTCAAAAACCCAATAGATTCCTCCCTCCTCCATGACCAGACTGCCAGGAGCATGGGCCACTTCTGAGGGCAAGCTGGGCATTTGCACCCCAGCTGTCTGTGGCTGAAGATTTCTCTCCTTATTGTTACAGCTGATAGTCCAGCAATCCAAGCAGTGTGTTGGCTGGTCTGATAAAAGTTATCTCCCCTATAAGCTTTATCTTGCTTCCCGCCCCGCCCCCCCCCTTCACAGCAAATTTTGAATTTACTAGCTTTTGGTCTGTTGTATTACAGACCAAATGTTCTGTAGTGTTGATGCTCACAGCATGTGGGAAAGACCTGGTTAACCCTATGCACTTCTCTAGCAGTCTTCCTGTGCAACTAAATTTATTCCGCCTGAAGAATGCTCCACTGTCTTCCAGGACTTCTGAAATACATGGTAAGCCACCAGGAACTCCAGCCTTCTGTTAAATCAAGAACTTTCTGACCTCCCTCTGATAAAGCACATGCTTCAGTCTTGCAGGAGAAAGGAGGGCAATGCGACCTCTTGATCCACACGTAAGATCTGAAAGGCTCAAATGCAAAGGGAGAGAATGGTTGGCAAAAAATTCTTGTCCTTGAGGAAAACTAAACTCATTAGACATTCAGCAGATAGAATCAATAGTGGCCAGGAAGAGAAGAGGAAAATACATCTTAAGACATGCAGGGCCTGACAAATTCAATTTACTTTTGAAGTCAGAAGTTGATATCTGAATAAGAATTTCATTCTCAAAGAAACTTGAAAGATGTGTCGTAGAATGGATGCTGAGTTACGAAGGCTTAGATGTTATCGTACGATTGCTTCTGAAACTAAGCAGCAGCATGAGATTGAGTTTCCTGATGCACAAAGAAGTTGTAAGTATTTGCAGTTTGATCGGCTCTGAGCTCTATGGTCCTTGGCCTCTGCCTTTGAAGAAATAAAACCTGTTTGTTCTAGCTGGCCTGTAACATGAAGGAAAACAAATTATGGCTCTGAGATGAAACACTCAGTACATGGAACTGATTTTCTCTGTAGGCACAAACTACTTTTTCTCAGAGTTTGGCCGAGGAGTTCACACAGACAGTGCCTATCAGTGCAGGGCGCCACTGGCATTGCAGCCTGGGAGTGCAGCCAGCAGACTCTGAAACATCTGCTAGCTGTAGCTATAGTAGCTATAGTGAGACACACAGCCATGGAGATGTCTGAATGGCAGAAGGCAGAGCTCTTGGGGAAGAGAGCTAGCAGAGACATCAGGTCTGATAAGAGCAGTGCTCCAGCAGAGTACAGATAATTTAAAAAAAAGAGCTAGAGAAAGCTCACAAGCCCCTGCTAGGTTTTGACAACAACATGGAAGTTTCCATGCACACTAAGAAAACTCTTTCAACTTGGTTGCTCCCTTGCTTCTGTTTGTCAAGTGGCAAATTCATCTGAATTTAAGGTGTTCTGTTACTCTCCAGAAACAGAAGCAGGAGCAATAACAGGTACAAGCAGAGTCTAACTGGAGTTTGGGGGAACATGAAGACCTGTTATTATGGAGCAGCAAGGTAAGTCATGGCAATATTGAATAATTCTCACCTAAGGATGCTAAAGGACTTGATTTGCAGTACTCGATTTTCCCCTGCAGTGCTGGCCAGCCCAGGGTGAGTGTATCTACCAGGGTTCGCACTGGGTGAGCCAGGAATGGAGGGCTGAAGCCAGCACCAGAAAATTCAGCCTTAGCAGTGGAGATGCAGAGCTTGTCCTTACAAAACCCGATGGAGGTATAGGTTTGGTAGAATCAGAAACACATAGAGGAAACATATAGGAGGTTGAAGACAAAAAAAGCCATACTCGGACATAGTGATAGCTCTGTTCTCAGAGGTACTCACAGCAGCAGAATTGCTCAAAGGAAGGAGAAACTAATTAGAAGTGTTCAACCTCAGGCTGCCAACATCTGAAGGCAGCTACCTACAGATTTTCTGCCAGCAGACAGCCAGTCTAGCTAGGAAACCAGAGCTGACGAGGGATGTGAGGGGTGCCCAGATGGAGGCAGTTTCTGTCTAGCTGAGTGAGAAGGTTTAACTGAGCTCATCAAGAGAACCAGGCTCTCCTTGAATGTGGGCAGAGGTGGGAGAAGCCACACACACCTAGAACACCCTTTTAGTTACAACAAAATAGAGTGGTAAATGCCAGCCAGTGAAGAGGAGAGGATCTGAACAGAACTGTGCTCAAAAGCAAATCTCAGACTTCTGAGAAGGGGCCTGGGGCTAATGTTTCATAACCAAGACATTGAACTTGACAGAGAAGACCAGAATTGTCAGTTTAACAGAAGAAAACTCCAGCTGAATGCTTGCCTTAGAGAGAAAGAGAAATATGCCATTTCCTGGGGTTGAATCTGGGCTTGAGCAGAGTCAGTCTGCAGAGCTTTATCACTGACTCACTGGGTTGGGATGTGGATCAGAGTGGCACTGGCATTTGGATGGGAGATGCTAACAGATTTCTGAGCTGCACAGACAAGACCTTCCAGAGAGCTGGGACAGCTACTGTAGGAGACAGTGGGCACTGGATGAAGTCAGTGGCCTGGATAACCTGGGCATTATTGTTCTTTATGGAATCTGATGCTCTTAGCCTTTACTGATATTCCGTCACTTATGAGGAAAGCTAATGAGCTAAGGAAAACAGATCAGGGACTACCATGGATGCAAGTAAGCAAAGAGACAAAGACACCTTGGTGTGTATTGGAAGAACCTGCAGCTTGTTCAGACACCTTTCCAGCTCGGTGCTATCCACAGAGCCAGACCAGAAACGTTCACAGACCAAAACTGCATCTCTGTGGCTTGTGCTGAGCTGAGCACAGCAAGCAGCAGACCCTCCAAGGCCAACCTGACATAAACCACGGCAATAACCCCAGAAGAAGAGTACCCTAGGAGCGGCAGGGCATTTCCTGGATGAACCTCCTGCCCTCTGTTTTGCTCCTTTCTAGAGCTGCCATTCCTGGACATTACAAACCTGCAGTAGTAAGCATTCAACACAAGCTCAAAACAACAGGCCTACACTGAAAGTTTTGTAAACTATGTGTAACGCGATGACAGTTGACATCACCCTAAAGGTGGGCACCAGACATCATGCCATACTCACCCTTGCGCTTCAGAGACATCAGAGAACGAAAAAATCCAGAGGCTGTGGTGTTTGCCCCAGGCAGCTTTGGGTCCTCCTCTCCCATAAGCTGAGCCAGCTCTGCCCCAGGCAAGTCAATGAGCCTGGTTATGTTGCTGACAACGAGCTCCGTGAACACCTCTGGTTTTTCATGGCGCAGCTTTTCCACAAAGAAGTCAGGATTGAAGATGATCGGCTGGCTGTGGAGGGAGGAGTCATTGCAAATGACAAAATTGCAGATGGCATCACTGGAAAAAAGAGAAGGAGAAAGAAATTCAGTAACTCCTCATTGCTTTGCTTTTTACAGCCAGCTGGTCTGCCCTGAAGGATACATCTGCTGACACAGGAGCTACCAGTCTACACCATCAGCACTGTCTGTCTTTGGTGAGAGCTCAGCACAACACAGTTACATTTCCCTTTGGAGCAAAACCATTTCTGGCCCGTTTGTACAACACAGTCCCAGACTAGCACTCAATAACGTGATGGTTACATATGCAACACATGACAACACCCAGCAAAAACTTTCACTGTATCAACATCCTACTAGCTCAGGTGGCTATGACATTCAATATTTTACATTAACTTAATCGCTCTCAGTCATAAACAAGTCTGGTTCTGCCTCCTTTCCTCCCCAGAAATTCACTCCCCGTGGCATGAAAGTCTTAAGTCTCAGTATGTTTTTCATGGCCAACTTATAATCATCAGTTCCCATTGCTGTTCCATCATCACTACCTTCCTATCAACAAACAGAATGTTCCCATGCCTTGGGACTTTGTTTTTAAGATCATAAGCATGCAACAACACTGACCTGCGGTTCTGCTAGGGACGTGGTCAAATGCTCCCAGGTGACAAGCTGCCAGCTTTTGGTTACTGCTCTCTGCCCGCTATGGTAACTGCCCAACTATGCACTCTGAGTCTGGAGCGAGTGGGAACTCCTCAGTATTAGCACAAGCCACCCAAGATCAGTTCTTGAGGAACCGTTAGTAACCTTCCTCCTAGCACATCTCTTTTTGACTCATCCAGTTCTTGTCTCCCTTCAGGCAGTCCTTTATCTGACCTCGCTGTTCTCTACTGAATCCTACTTTCTCCGATTTATAGCTTCTCATGTGGCATGGGAAAAGGGATGCATCTGAGACACTGCTCTGCTAAGGGTTATCTATAACAGATACTTTAGGTAAGCTACATTTACCATGTTTAAAATCAAAATTTTATCATGTTTTCATGATAACATGAATCATGTTTTCAAAGAGAGATCTCAGGTTAATCAGTGCTCTTAATGCTTACGCTTAAAGCCTATCTTCATTACCATCTACTTCTAGGTCTTCCATTACCATCTTCCCACCACTTTTTCAAACACTTGCACTCTTCTGAAGTCAAATCCACAGGCTAGAGTTGCCTAGCTTGCTTCTCCTGCCCCTCTTTTACTTAAATGTGAGGATTAGTGTCATTATTCTCCAGTCACAAGCTACTGCCCGATGTTCTTTGCTATAAAGTGCTGGTCTGGCCCCATGAGGTGGTTTGCCAGTTCTTCCAAGGCTCTGGGCGGAGGCTGCCTACCCACCCAGCTTGCACACACTGCGTGCTTTCACTGCGTGACATTCCCCACTCCTTTAATCGTTCTTGGGCTCTTAGATAATACTTCCCTTTCCACTGTTTCAACATCCCTCCTCAACTGTGAGCTCCCACTGGACATTGTTTTCCAAGTGCACAGGCAATAGAAACACTGTGCCCGTGCACCGGGGACCCACATCAGTCCCTTAGGTGTGGTGCGGCACATCACTGTGTTCGGACCACGCTGGGCACCCATGGTCACGGCTCAGCACACCTGCCACCAAAAGGGAGGGCGTTCACAACCCACTGGACCTTACATCTGTTGGTTCAAGCAACAGAGCACTGCAGCTACCAGTTCAGAGGTCCAAGCAACTTACTGTTCCGATGTAAATCGACAGTAGCTAACAAAGGGGAGGACATCAAAGCACACACTGGCAAGTCCCCTAACTCTGGCATGCCTCCACGCAGTATCTGTGAACCCGACACTTATCTGAGCTACTGCTGGACATCTTTGACCTGAAAGACCATCTTGATGTGATATCCAGGATGCGTGATCAGAATAAGAGAATAAAAGCTGGGACTCAGGCTACACAAGGAGAAAGATACTTGCTGCAATCAGAGGAAACCAGGCTCTCAGCAACACTTGCATCGTGAGAATCCGTACAAAACCCTCTCCCTTCACCACCGCTCTCAAAGGATGTCAAAGACTCCTTCAAGAGGATGGAGAGGAGGAAGGTCTGCAAGGCAGACTGCAAGGCAATCTGCCAGATCATCTAAAATTTTAGAAAGCTCTTAAAGGCTCCCAACTGCATCGCCCAGAGTGGCCTAGCGAGCACACTGTCGCCTCCAAATGGAGGCCATATTTTTGTGAGTACCTCCCAGACTGTTTTTCAGCAGTTTGTTATCTGCAATAAATCAAGACCAAAATGCAACAACGCGGTATCAGCTGCCAAAAAGCAACTGCCAATCGATTCAATCATATTCGTGTTTCGCTGCACAGGGCTACAATGCACAAGCAAGTGCCAGCTCTGCCCGTAATGTGGAGCAAGCCCTTTGCCTGAAATCCATGACAACTCATTCATTGGCAATACAGATCCTGAGAAGGGTTAACAGCAAGTCTATGGGCCCAGTGACCCTGCCTGCAATGATCCGTGCACTGTTATTCACTCACTAGCAGTTTTGTTTCCCCACAGAGAAGATATGCAAATACTTTGCAGCAGTTACATCAAGCATCACAGACTATCTGCTCCCTCTGACAATTAGACACCTAGATTCAGAAAAAGAAAATTAAACAATTTTGTCAACTAGAACTGACTGACATGACTTCTCCGCACAGCCAGCGTTACAAGTTGCACAAAGTTTAACAACATTTAATGCAAAAATAAATAGAAAAAAGTAAATTTCTTACATGAGTGCTGAGAGCTTTTGGAGAGGCATTAGGAAGCAGAGACAGGGAAAAGAACTTGCTCCTTGTTTCCAGCAACAAAAGAAACCTGCCTGTCCCAGCACAGCCTATGCAAATTCCACGCATGCTACGAGACACAAGGGTGCATTATTGGGTCTGAAAGGCCCCCTTGGCGCACACTGGGCATCAGCCTTCACACAGAGACAAAACAGAAAAGAAAAGCTGGACAAATTGATTCATGTCTCTTGCCAAAGGCTGCGTAGCTGGAGTTTAACGGCAAATAATTCCTACATAGAAACCAGGGTTTTGAATTAGGACCAGCGTGGTATTAAGTGCTCTCCACCTGTATCCAAGAAGAATCCACAAAATGGCCCCAAATCTACCCTGTGTTTGCCATGAGTAAAGCCATGCAAACACATTCCCGACAGCATCCAAGCACAACCAATGTTACAGCACTGGCAGGACAATAACCCAGTCCTTTAACTGCACAACCCCGTGCCCAGGAACCTTGCTAGAACCACTCTCTGCCCCGCCTTTCACACTTATAGATCCTTCCAAAGACAAAGCACGTAGATTGGCCCCTCCAGAGCTGGAAACTGCACCTGGCCATTGCTCCTTGCTACCATTACTGTGCCACCATGTGCCATTCATCCACTTCAGGCTTCCCGTTCCACATTTCTCTGGATTCCCATCCAGTTTCCCTGCCTGCCGCAGCTGGGCCCAGCCTTGTATATCCTTATTGTGGTATGGCACTTCAATGAGCTACTTAATTTTGAAAGGTCACTTTATTAGCAGCTCTTCCTCACACAGAAAATTTGCCTTTGTATCATTATCGCTAATCAAAATGGAAATGTGAAGCAAACCCCTATTTCTGAGCAAAGATAAAAACCCCACTGGCTTTACACACAATAACCCTGCCAATCCTCACTGCTGCATATGCTATAACCTTCAGAAAAAGCCATGTGCCCCATCTGCTGTTTTCATGTTAAAAAAGGAAGATGGATGTACCCTACCTACACTCATAGTTTATATAACAGCAGCAAAGCGGAGACAAACACGTATTCAGGGAGTGTATTGCTTTCTTTTTTTTTTTTCTTTCCTTGAAATTAGAGTTATGTTTCCTATATGCTGTGATCTCAGATTGCTTTATGACATGTCAAAAGACGATAAAATAAAGGAGTAAGTAGCTTCCTCTCCAATCTCATGAATAAAATCAAATCCCAATGAATAATAAAACCTTGTACTAATAGGGTTGTGATTAAGACAGCAGATTAAAAAAAAAAAATGGGTCCTATATTGTGCTGAGATTCTTGCCATTCTAGTATCTTTTAGGAGCGAAGCCTGTGATCCCAGCCAAGTCACAAAGCAAGCTGTCTGTCACACACAACGTTCTTGCTTCAGGCATGACAGCCCCATCATTTCATGGGGAGTGGATGGTGCAGGAGGTCAAAATCATGATGGATCAATTAATCCCTAAGGTAACTAGATTCAGGCCAGGGAAATGCCTTGGAAACTAGGACAAAAATGAGACTTTGACTGGCAAAACCTGGTGATTGAGCCTGTGGTGCAAGAGCTGTGCAAGCAGGCAGATTAGCTCGTGTGGCAGCAAGCTTGCATTCAGATAGGCGAGACCTCACTGTTTTAGCAGCTTTTATGAATTTTATATTTTTCTAACTCCATCCACATGAAGCCAGAAACAGGTTCAAGCAATATGAAATAGAGCATAAGGAGAACACAAGTAAGCCAAGAGAGAGAGGGAAGAGGTACCTTTGGGGCAAGGCATTAGCTATGTTTGTCTAGCTGGAAAGCGTAAAAGCTGGAAGCTGCAGATTTCAGAGGAGCCTGATGTACCTAATTCTGTGGGCAAAATTCATCTCCAGTGCCGTTTTGCGCACTTCGTATGTTGCCGCTAAAGAGCAAATGCTTCAAACGCACGACAGTAGATGAGTCTTACCATACAGGAGTAAAGGATTAAAGAGCTTTTGAAAATAAGGCAGATAATAGAAGAAAATCGCCTTCTATAACAACAAAATCGTTAGACCAGGAGGAACAACCAGGCTACTGCCAAATAGTGAGAGCAGCGCGATAAGCAGGCAGTGCTAAGGAACACAAAACACGAGCGATTCTTTGCCTGGCTAAGCACAAAGGGAGATGGGACAGATGCGCTCAGGCTCATATTTCCCCAGGGAGAGAGAAGAAGCATCGTTTCCTATGTTGTGCCAGAGTAAGGAATCAATTAATGAGGATGTCTGAAGACAGTATTTCCCAAGCCAGATAGGAGCCATCCCAGATTTTGCAAAGAGATGAAAGAACCATAGTGGAATTATGTGGAATCATTTTAAGTACAAAAGGACTAGAAGAGAAATTATTTCCAAGATTAAAAAAAAAAAAAGAGAGAGATTTAAAAGTCGTCTAATGGGAATGGACTGCAGAGACATGAGAAGTGACTTCACAGTTAAGGTTGCTTTGAGGACTGTACTTCAGACTGACATTCTTGTAAGATAGCATAACAAAGATCACATTCAGTCCTCAGATTTGGCACAGTAACGCTTCATAGGATGACTGACTTGCTTCTGAAAAATGTCAAGAAAACACGCAGCAATTTTTGCCTAGGGTTATACTCATAAGGTCTTTAGGGGCAGAGTCCTTTTGTGACGAGTACAGAGTGCACAGCACAGTCGATGCTGATCCTTGCCCACTGTCTCTAGACTTGTACAAGTAAGCCATATAAGATAACGCTGCCTTTTTAATTTTTGCTTTGCTCCCTTCACATTTAAACAGCTATCATGGAGTGATTCAGCCTTTTGGCTATGGGAACCAGATAATAATATACAATTTAAACAGCAAGGAGCAGGGCAAGAAAGCTGCTATTATGTGACGGCAGCCTGCGCGGGACAATCTGGAACAAACTAACACCTGGCCGTGTTTTGGACATTGGGTAAATTGGATATCCAAGTCACTGCTATAATCTATGAATTCAAATTCCGTCTCAGTAAAGGGCTCAAAGCAGACCTCAGAAACATCAGCTACACATCTGTGATGTGAACCTGGAGACGGACCTATCTGGGAAGATAAAAGGGCTGGAAGGGGCGAGGGGGGGAAGTGTCCTTTGGAAGAAACTGAAAATGCAATGTATTACCAGTGTCAAAGAAAACTGCAGTAGCAAGTCAGCTTGATGTATGTGAAACATCAAGAAATTTGCATTTCAGCATGGAATTTCTGAAGTTCGACCTCGGTGAATTCTTTTGTGATATCTTTAGTAATAGCCACTGGAATATTTTCAAGTCAACAAAGCAGTACTTCAATCAGCCATCACCACAACATCAGAGTATCCAGATGCCTTCTAGTGCTAGAAGGAGGAAAAGAACTAAGAGGCGCCTGAGAGAGGAACCGCTTGTTCACTGCGGTGCTCCTCACCGCATCTCCTTCCCAGCGCCACCGCCACAGCTCTGCATGATCCCACGCTGTGCGATGGCTCAGCCTCCTACCCAAGGCTCTGTACAAAATGCAGAAACACAGCTACCGCCAGAAACCCAGAAATTTTACATTAAAGCACTGCAAGCTCATATGTTTGCCTTAACATCAGAATAACAGTCTAAGAGCATCAAATAGCGATGCTGCTCCGATTTTCATCACTTTCAATGCACTCTAAAGTTTGTGTCTTTATTTTAATGTAAACCCGTATAGGGAGTGGCAATAGAAGAGGAGCCTTAGATCCAATCCTGGTTTCACTGAAACCAGCAACCAGCACCAAAACTGAATCTTTTTAGATGGCAGCAGCTGCCTCTTCTCATTACAGATCTATTCACTTTTATCACTGTGGCATTGGGAACCTCGGTCACAGCTGGGGACTCCGCTGTGCTCCATGCTGTACAAACACAGAACAAAGGCAATACCCTGTCTTTAGAGGGCTGATAGCTAAATCTGAAATGAATGCTGGAGGGACAGAAAAGAGAAGGAATCCCAAGAGAAGAGGCAGCACTATCAGTCTGCATGACTGATAGAACTGAACTCTGCCAGCTTTTCTGCAGACACTATTAAAAAGGAGGGCGAAGAAGGACAGGAAAAATAATCAGGTCACACTGCAGACAGTTAGAAGAAACCCAGCTTCTGCGCGAGGGGCGACATGGGACTGAGCACAAAGGAGGTGGTTTGAAAGCTATCAGGCAGGGACGGCTGGGACGCAGGGCTGAGGAGGCAAGTGACGAGCTCCTGGCACTGGCTGGGAACCGCTGGCGAGGCAGAGACGACAGGCCAGCAGTGCTGGGGAGCCAAAGGAGCCTGGCAGCACCGCAGGGCACCGCATGGCCGCATCCGGACCCCCGCAGCAGGGCGGGAGGGTTGCAGCCTGAGGAAGCCCTGCAGCCACTTCCCACCACCCAGAACATGCCGGGCAGGCACACTGCCTCCCTTGGGAGAAGGTCACTAGGGCCTGGGGCTAGTCTGTATAGAAACTGCATTGATGGAGTTTTCCCTGCCCCAGTCATATAGTTATAATCATGACAAAACAATGCACCTTTTTGTGGTTTATTTTACTAGTTTAAGCCATTTGCTTTGTGAATAATGTACCACAGATCTGAGGTACCCTGTGGGACCAGGTGGTATCTGCCACAAATGCTGCATCCCACGTCTAGGACAGGGATCTTAGGCGTTTTCTCCCCATGCCCTGCAGAATTACCCACCACAACTTTCAACTACGAGGCAAACTAACAAACTACAAGGACACCTCCTCTTCTCATGAACCCTAACACCTTTCTTGTGTAACCTAAAATTCTTTACTGAACATCTGTTCATGGACTTAACGTCAAATGATGGCTCTTCAACTTCATCGATATCCCTGGCAGGAAGTTTCTTCCTGCTTTTGTCTGTTTGGTCCTTAGCTGGGTGAACTGCAAGGTCCACACACGTCTGCTGCATCCTCAAAGTGTGCACAAGTACTTTTTAACTGCTAACAATGATAGCATTTCTTTACTCTCCTCATTTTAAAATGTCTTTAACTTCTTTACTTTTCCATTTTGAGTGTCCTGGAAAT